TAACTAAGAAAATCAAGGGAACTGACACAGGCCACAAATATTCTCCCAGTGGAGAAAGAGATTCATGTTGATAATGCTGTGAAGTATTTGAGCCACTCTACAAATGTCCTAAGAGAGGGAAGAAATGGAAAGATAGAAAAGTGGCGGGTTTCAGTGCTCCAAAGTAGTTTGAATTGCACTTGAAAAGAAACCTACCCACCGAACTAGATCCAGGCTGTCCAACTGGTGGCCCAAGGGGTTAAGACTGGAGGGTTTGTTGGCACAGCTGCCAGAGCCACTGCGTTGGTGCAGTTCCAGAACCCAGGGGGTAAATGCTGTTGCTACTTCCCCCCGGCACCTCCTTGATGCTGCCAAATTCAGGGTCTGCTAGTAACTCAGATCAGCAGCAAGGGAAAAGGGGGGCAAGTGGCAGCAGCAGTCAGTCCCTCGATTCCAGAGTTGCACAAGTTGGTGCCTCACTGCTAGAGGTAGGCCATCCAGCCCACAAGATGCCCCATGGGCTAGAACTGGCCCCTGGGCCAAATAAATTCCACAGCCCAAGTCTAGGCCATACAGATAGACCATATTTATTTAAAGGAATATGGAATCATGGGATATGAAAGCACCTCCAGGCTCCAACCTCTAGCACAGATGCAGGATTCATTATCCCTAACCCATCCCATTATTCTTAAATCTGTCCAACCTTTTCTTGGACAGCAAAAGCTGCAGAGACGGATCACATGTACCAAGTGCCCATAACACCATTGTTGCTCTTAACACCTGTGTTTAGAATCAACTCTCCAAACTCAACCAGGGTTTTATAATTGACTCAACTGTATGGAAGATTGGATTGGAAAAGAGAGTGTGGTGCAGCAGTGGTTAGATGCCAAGACAGAGGAACCAGGCACATGGGCTTATGTCTCCATAGTGTTCTAAGCATGCACCTGCATCTGGACCTAAGTTTGATCTGTCTTAATTGAGCTGTGATACTCTTGGAAGCACAGATGGGTCAGCCACAGCCAACTGCAGAATAGTTCAGTGGTGAGGGCCGATGATTCGGGAGCTTCTTCTCAGTTGCCTGAAAAATCTGACAAGTAGCTTACACTGGAATTTGAAAGTATTTCAACCAATGCAGGTGGCCAGTTCATTTTCCCATGGCGTCTATGGGGTGTGTGTGTGTGTGTGTGTGTGCGCGCGCGCGCGCAGGTGTGCGGGTGGAGATTTTCAAATTCATCCAGCCTCAGACTAACTCTGCAGTTTTTGGAATTGCTGGGATTTTCATCACAACAAAGCTGTTTTTGACCATCTCACTTCTAATGATGATCTTTGAGCAAGTGTCAGTGAAAGTGATGGGATTGGTGGAACGCAGGGGGAAAAAGACAGAATTTTGCTCTTATGCAGTAAATCAGAATTAAGCAGAAACCAAACTGTTTTCACAGAAACCATCTCAGCTATGAGCGGTTACATCAGTGATTCTCAACTAGGGTGTCACAAGATCCATCTAAGAGTGCTGTAGGGTGCTGCATAATATTAGCACTGCTAGGTACGCAAACACCTACACATGATGCATAAGATAAATCTAGAGATTTCAAATACGAATCCACAGGGTCAAAAACACTGTGACCTGCTGCGGTCCTTCTGAGTTCTTTGCAACAAAAGAATTGGTTTATTATTTTTCTGTAATAAAAAAAATGAGTGAAAGCTAAGAGTTGGCATTTTCTGAGGGGTGTTTTGAGTATAAAAACATTGAAAACCACTGTGTTACACAGACAATTCTCTTAGAGGGATACAGGCCCAGAAATGCATCATATTCAGCAGCCCAAAAGAATGCAGAGAATGCATTCAGAAGACAATCCAGGAGCCCAAATAAAGATCATTGTCTAATAATTTCAAGTTTAGACTGTGTTTATTTTAAAAGGGGATTTGCAGAAGCTGATATAACAACTTGGTGCATTTTTTTTAAATTTCAGCACTGAAAACAGACATGTGCAATGATAAACCCACTGATAAAAGCATGTAAATAAATTGAATTAGACCCTCAAAATGATGAACTTGACATAAAGATCTTGAGACTTCAAAAATCAAGCTAATTTGGGTGAATATGGTCATAGTTTTATGTTTTCCTCTGTAACTAGGAGTCACTTTCTTTTTTAATGAAAGCTTAGATCTTCATATAGTCACATGACTCCAACAGCTAGAACCTGATGGGAAAAAGCATTATTGCAAGACTAATAATAGAATTGCAAGAATGGGCAACACTGAATAGATTTGGCTCTGAATATTGTCACAGCATTTGCAGCTCTGACAAGACCTGAGCAGGAGAGCCAACACAGCCAAAGGGTGGAAATGGTTGGTTGGTTTTAATAGCTTGAGCTGGAAAAAATGCAAAGAGTGAACAAACAGCATGAATGGAAAAAGGAAAAGCAGATCTGCAAAAGCCCTGTAGTCTGGTGATACAGTGCCAAACCCTTGGTGTGGCTTCTGAACCTCACCTAATATCTGCATGGCCACTTGACCCCATCCCTGGCTCTGGGGTCAGGTCCAGAATGGCAATGTCTAGGCATCACTGAGTGGCATCATGGTGGTGTTGCCTCTGTGCAGGCCTTCCCCAGTTTCATAAAAAAGTGGTGTGTGCTCAAGCACCAAGAGAGTCTAAGAGATGGATTCTCTTGGTGTTTGGTAGAAGTGGTTAGAGGGGGTCATCATCAATCAGAGGAGAGTGCACAGTGCTCACCCTGGTTAGTATAGGAGAGAATTCTTTGTACTCAGAGACACCACCCTCAATTCCTGGCCACCAATGGGCTCTTTTCAGAGCCCATTCACAGTCCATTACTGTTAGCAGCTGACAGCGAACCACACAAGAAACCACTGACGTCATGCTGAGCATGTCTACACAGTCTCCCCATAGAGCCTGGAAGTGCCTAAACACACACCAAGAAGGATGCCCAATACAGAGAGCCTGAGAGCAGTGCTGGGGGGTATGCTCAGGGCTTTTCTAACTACATTGCCTTGGTTTCCTAGAAGGACACCGAGTCGGAGTGGGTAGAGGTGGTGGGTGGAGACAAGCCCTTAGTGACCTTAGCCAAACAATGTTTCTTACTTTTTGGGAGACTCCATTTTATTGGCCATGACATTCCCAAAGTCCTGGGAACTTGTGTACCTGCTGTTGTCTCTAGGAGAGGAGCAGGGTGTGATGATGTAAGAAGAACCTTGAGGGCAATTCCATGTGCCAACATAGCACCTTGTGCCTCAGCCTAGCATCAGTGGAGCTCTGCCCTGGCACAGCCATCTGTTCGCATGTTATCAGCTCCAGGACTGAGACCTAACACATTCAGAAAACGAACCCAGGATTGACTGGTTTGCTTTGTAAGACTGCAAGGGGCATCCCCTCAGACAAATTCCATATCAGGGGTGACATCTGCTTGCAGAAAAGCAAGCTGGCCATGTTTAATAATCTGCTTAGGTCTGCACCCATAAATCAAGATCTGTGTACATATCTATTAACATTTTGCAAATGTCTTAACAGAGAGTGGAAAAGCCACAACACTCCTCACGGGTTAATGCCATCTGCTTGGCTCAGCTCCCGCAGTGTCTGTTCTCAATATCAGGGATTCACAGAATGCAACTGGATTTTGGGCAGGACCTCCCACACTCAAGAAAACCCAAAGAACTTTGTGCAAAGCACATGAAAAATCCATTGCTGGCCACTGCTCTGTAGCAATCGCAGCACTCCCCTTCTAACTATGGTGCAGGCCATGCTGTGACTACTGCACAGGTAGCTGGGATGGTGAACGAAGACTGATAACAATCCCCATTGTAGCTATGACCCATACATTGGCTGGAGGTCGATACAGCTGGCAGCTGTAACATGCTGAGGGACAACCCAGACACTGCCTTGGCCCTTAGAAACTGTGAGTGATGGAGAAGACTCCAACACTTAATTACATCTAACTGCAGTGGGTTGAGTCTTGGAATTCCCTGCTGAAGTTTGGATTTTTCTTCTGATCCAAAATGAAATGAGATTCTCTAAAGCTTCCAAAACAGAACTGCTTTGGCTGGGAGCCCCTGAATAAAGCTTACTGGAGCTTCATTAACTCCACCACTGCCTCCATCACACAGAAGTGCTTTTGCTGCTGTTCCTCAGTGGTGAGCAGTGGGAAAGTGACAAGAAACAGACCCACTTCATGCAGCAACTGCCAAGGCTTCTGAGGTTGACTGTTGGCTGCAGTGGGCAGTCCTGCCACAGCAACTGCTCTGAGACCAAGCCCCAGGGATGCTACACTCCTAGGTCAGTGGGCTCTCAGGGCCCAGGGCTGTCTGCAGAGCAGAGCCCCCTCTGAGCAGCAGCTCTGCAAGTCAGTCCCACCCTGCAGCTAGGAACCTGGAAGCCCTTGCTCCACCTAAGGTGCATAGGGATCCCTCACTGCCGGTGCAGCACCAAGCCTGGCCCAAGAACTCCAGCTGGAGCAGGGTTTCATGGGCTCCGCAGCACGGAGCCTGGCAGCCCAGTGACCACTGGACAGGGGCAGTTTACATGACACAGCTGCCTCAGAGCTCTTCCCATGCAGCCAAGTGCCTTAGCAGCCCACCAGGTGAGCCAGCAGCAAACTGCGGGGCTTTTGCTAGCCCCCTGCTTGTGGGCTGATGAAAGATCATTGAAAAACAGATGTTTTTGTGGAGCATTTTGGCTTTGATGAACTAGCATTTGCTAATGAAATTGTGCTTGGCTGGAAATTTTCCAATCAGCTGTAAAAATGACCCTTTTTCAGGGGTCATTTTTTAAAACTAGCGTCCCCTCCTCATATCATCAGGAACATCTTCCCCACAGTATGGTATAGCTCCCTGAACTCCCTGCGGACAGTCCTGCCAGGGGCAGAGAATGCCTCCACCTCATCAGACCTCAAGCCCAGAGACAAAGGGCAACACTGGCCCATAACCCTGTGAGCCCAAGCCCATCCTTCCCTTGTATGTGTGTTAAAAGAGATGCACAAGAACTATCCCACTCCGCAAGTGTTACTTACCGTAAAGAACCCTTTCCTTCTCCTCCTGCTCCCAACATAAAAGCTGGCTCCCTTCATGGTCAAGGATGCAGGGAACGGTGTGTCCACCACCCTGGAAATGTTAAGATAAGAGGCCTGTGAACAAAGGGAAGCTAATTTTATGGCATCCATGGATAACCAAAAAAGAAAAACACCCACTGGTCCTAGCCAGCCTAAGAGGATAATTACAATTATGGGCTTCAGGTAGTGGGAAGGGTTCACAGGTACCCCAGATTGATTCAGACCCATGATCCATCCAGTCCAACCTCCTCACCCTACCAGGGGTTAATGTCTATTCATATTTGGGGGTGTTGGTTATAGCCATGTTGGTCTAAGGACATAGGCAGACAAGGTTCTTTGGGGTAAAGTGATATCTTTTATTAGACCAGCTAAATAGCTGGAAAAAATTGTTCTTTACAACCTTTCAAGCACAAATACGCTTTGTCAGGCACAGGGAGAGTCTGCTGGAGCTTGTGTGCTCTCCTGGGTGGAACAAAAGCATAAGCCAATATGCAACATGCAGGTCTGTGAAAATGCAAATGTGTGGCAGGGAAGATCAGAGGGAATGGGAGTTAATAAGTACAAGACAGGTAGGAGAAAGAGGGAAATGTTGACCAGTGATAAAATGTAGCTGGTAAAATGATCTTCCCTGCAGCACATTTGCATTTTCAAAGACCTGTTCATATTTGGCACACTAAGCCCTTAGACTCATAGACAACACCTTGTGGCATCGAGTTCCAGAGGTTAATTCTGTGACGTGAATTAAAACAGTCCCTCTTTTTTACCCCAACCATGCTGCTGGCTCCCACAGGCTGCACTGGCTCAGCACAGGCCCCTGATGCAGGGTGTCTGCAGTCATGGGAGCTGAGGCTGGCCCTGCTCACCAAAGGCCCATCTCTCCATTTGTACTGCTTGCACCTTACCCAGACTTTCCCTTCCCCTCCAGAGAAGACAACTGCTCTGCAAGATTTTCCATGTCCCAACATCGATCACTCTTAAATGCCTCTTTCTAAAGCCTTCAAGCTGTTTCTCCTGAACCTTCAAGAACTACGTTTAAAGCAGTTGGTGGTGAACCAAGAGAGCCAAGACGCCTACGGAGAGTCTGCAGCCAGGACTGGTGAGTTATACTGAGCATTTCTATGGCACCAGGGCCCTCTAGCCTGCCCCGTGCTGGCCACTGGGCAAACACTAGAGCTTGATCAATGGGTGTTTTCCTGAGGAAGACGTTGGTGAAATCACTTGTAATAATAATAAAAAAAAAAAAAATTAAAAAACCCCCCATATTTTGTTTAATCTAAAAGTTCACATTTTTGTTTCTCCCTGAAAAATTCCCCAAACACCCTCTTTTCTCCATTTAGGAAAAAATATTTTGTTTCAACTTTTTTTATTCTCAGGGCAGTTTCCTCCCCTCACTCCTTTGCTCCTCATGCACCAGTCTAGCATAGGGGGGAACTGAGAGAAAATGGAAGTGCCACGTCATTTCCAAAAGGAAATGTTTTATTTTTTGGTCAAAACACTTTGCAAAAATATTTTTAAGTTTCAGTTGAAACAATGGTTAGCCAGTTTTCAGCCAGTGCTAGCACAGACCTGCAGTCAGCCTGCAGATGAAATAGAGCAACAACAGAGAAGCAGAATCTTCAGGGCATTGAACCAATTTTTTTTTCCCATTCCTCCAAGATCTTCCCACCCCCATCTCATATTGCCTGCCCCACTGTGTCCTCTTGGCCAGCCCATAATAGATGCTTCCCTCTCCAAAGTAAAGGATGTGGTCTAGCCCAGCATGACAGGATGTCTGCCAGCTCTACAAAAAAATGTACCTTGGGATCCCAGTCGTAAGTCATCTGCAGTTCCCAGGCCTGAAGGAGACTTCTGTGGAAGTCTCTTTGAGGCAGGAAAGATGTTCCTATTAGCAAGAATCTTGGTACTTATGGGGAGGGAAGAGGACATGGTCTTAAGGAAATCTGGGCCTCCCATGACAATGCTAAGATGATCAGAGCTGCAGCAGGGCTCAGCCTCCTGGGGCCCACTCCCAAGGATCTATTAGACTAATGATTTTCAACCAGGTGCTGTGGCACCATGGGGTGCCACAAGATCCTTTTAAGGGTGCTGAGAGGTGCCATGCAATGTTAGCTCTGTTAGGTAAGCAAACAGCATTCCCAAGATAAGCCTAGAGATTTCAAATGGGAATCCATAGTGTCACAAACATTCTGCCATGCTGTGGTCTTTCTGCATCCTTTGCAACAGAAGTGTTTTTTCATAGTCAAAAAAATGAATGAAAGCTAAGAGCTGGCATTTTCTGAGCGGTGCCTTGAGTCCAAGGAGGTTGAGAAGCACTATGATAGACACACTGTCCTCTGTGAAGCACTGAAAATTATGCAGACTTGCTGCTCTGTTACTTGTGCCAGGGTGAAATGGCAGGAGTCCGTGGGTATCACCAGAGCCTTTAGAAGGCCCAATATGAAGACCCTGGGCCCTCCCAACCAGCCCCTACATGAAGGAGCTCTGTCTGAGCTGTACTCCCTATACATACATGTCAACAGGGATACTGCAGTCCACAGTGAGGGAGAAGGAATGTCCAGATACGGCCAAGACAAGAGTGTGCCACTGATTGTCCACCAAGGAGATGTCTCGGAAGGTGACCCGCGTCTGCCAGCCGTTGGATAGCTCCCTGCTCCAGAAAAGGAAGTGGAGTTTGTTCAGTGAGTACCTAAGTCCTACCAGCACGGGGCTGCTCTCCTCTCCCATCACGGTGAAGATGTATTCGTTTTTCTGAAAGACAAGCAAGAAAGTCTGGCATTACCATGTGGTTTGTGGAGAGTTGGAGTGTCCATGGGGCACTATAAATAAACCCCTTGACTCTGATTTCACTGGAGGGCTGGGAGCCCATGGACTGGAAGAGCAGGGGAGGACTCAAAATGTGGGTTCTCCTACAGATTCCCCCTGTGATCTCTGCATTGAGTCCTATCTGAAATATAGGGATACCAACTCTTCCTTCCTCTCCCAACTTTATCTCCACTGCCGGGTTAGACTGTACGTTCCTTCACAGGCAGGGAACATCTCTTCCTGTGTGTTTGGACAGCACCAAGCCCAGCTGGGCCTTGATGGTGACCTCTCAGAGCTGCAACAATATGTCTAATATTAACGAAGGCAAAAAGAGGAGCAAAAAGCCATCCACAGCTCTGGATTCACACATGGACAGACCCACTGAGTAAGAAGGTGGCATTTGTGCTGAACAGAGCAGGACTTTCAGAGCACAACTCTGCCTCTGTTTTCATGCCTTTGAGTAAAAGTCTCTTCTAGGCAGGCAAGACCTTCAGTCCAACAATGATTCATACCTTTATTTCTTGAGAAGAGTGGCTGTGGTAGGGGGTCTACTATTCAGATGGACTGTCCTGGTCACCCATTCATCTGACATTCGTACATACGTCAGTCCATCACTACCTACTCCCACCCCTCTACTGACATATTCCTCATCTCCCGAGAGACTCATTTCATGTACAGCATGATCAGCACAGATGTGCTCCTGCAGGCATCCAACAGCGTGCTGGTGAAAGGCCTGACAAGCATGACCCTGCATTATGGATGTGGCTAGAGGCAGGAGCAGCAGATAACAGGGACTGGATCAGGTGCTTACAGCCAAATCCTACTTGGGAACTCCCCACATCTTTGGACTGCTCCTATCCCAGGTTTGGGTTGTGCCCCACCTGAGAACAAGGAGTGTTTTCAAGTCAGATCTTGACTCCAACCATTCATTAAAATGGACGGGCATCTCTTCATAGATGGATCTGCGTTTACCTTTCCTGGGACACTGAGGACTCTCAGGGTGACGATGACAGAGAATTCCTCCGGAAAGCGGTCACAGTGGAGAAAAATCCGAGAAGCTGGGAAGCAGAGGGACTGGGAGTGGGAAGCCAAGAGCTGGAATCCACGCACCCCCTGTACTTGGAGCATCCTAATCCCATTCCTCAGGCCACCAGCAGGAACCACCTCCGCGAGAAGATCCAGAGGGTGCAGGTCTGTGCCAGAGAAATCACGGAGCATGGTCACTGGCAGAGAGAGGCATGGGGTTTGCTATACCATCTCAAAAGTAAGCTCATGCTTCCCTGTACATGATTACAGGAGGTGCCTTGCAGTGGGTCAGGATGCTCGGGAGTGAAAAATAATCAGGGATAATCAGTTGCATGATGATGCATGTTAACGAGTGCATTAGCTGTGTGAGTGTGTTAGCTTTTCTGATTCAAGATGGCCACGTGCCTGATGCGTGGCCTAACCACCAGCCACTTGTCTACTTATACACATTTTCTCCAGGGATACAATAGCCTATAAAGCCATCCTCCCCCCACCCACCAGGAACCCTGAAAGCAGCAATATGAGGCAGGAGAGAAAATCAGTGCTAACGTGTTTCAGATCTCCTTACAAATGATCTTATCACCTTTCTTCTCACTAAGCACTAGGGTAAGGATCTTCTTCAGCTCTAGCCATGCACCCTCAGGCCCAAACCCACTCGAAACTTCAACTGTCTGATCTGGAAAAAAAATGGGGGATAAGAAGTCTACAATGGAAAGGGAGGTTCCTGAAAAGCAACTGCTTCCTGCTGTGCCCTGGGGACCAGCAACAGGCCTGGTCAGGATGGCAAGAGGGAGTTCTCATTCAGCAAGTCCTCTATGGGTCCTTGATGATGAGCTGAAGCTACTCAAGAGAAGGTATGCAAGCACCAGTTCTGCCTTAGGTGGCACATTGGTGAGGTCCATGTGAGAAACAGTATGACCAACTGATGAACCTAATATAGCACGCACCCATCACCTCAGCTGCACTCTGCTCACTGAGGCATCTCACCTGGGACCCTTTCTGGCATCCCAAACCTACTGGGAACTTCAATAGTCTGATCTGGAAAAAAATGACCAGAGGAATATTTTCTTCTTCAGCCTTTGCCCCCCACCGTCAGACAATGGTAGGAGTTTCCTCCCCCTCAAGGAAGCAATGACAATGACCTTCATGGCAGGACACTCTTTGCTCAGTTCTGATCCATATCTCATAGCCCATCAGGCCAGTTTTGCATGGATGGTTGTTAGGTCTGGTATGTCCCAGAAGACCAGCACTCAAAATGGTTGAGGGAGTTCTCAGTAGCTCTGTGCTGTGTGCAACTTGTGCCATGATGAGATCAATCAGACACCTGCCCTTGGGGAACCCAAAATGAAACCCTGGCTTTGCTGTTCCCAAGACACCAGCCACAGTCACTTGAAAGGACATCTCCCGTCAGTGGGTCCCTCTCATCCACTAGAGGGCAACAGGCACCCAATAAATACAGCTACTAAACTGTATTAAAATTTTACGCAGTTAGACACATGGTATGAAGCGTCAGGGCTTAGGACCTGGGACACCTAAGAACAGGATCAGCCAAGCTTTTTAAATAGTCGCTAAAGTACAAACCATGCTGGCCAGGCATACGGCCATCCCAAGTTCTTGCCATCAAACCCTTTCTGCAGGATCACCCTTCTGTGTATGTGTGTAGACAGGACAGGCTTAGGGCAGGCTGAGAAGATGGGATTTGAAGTCAGATACAGTTTTAGACCAGAGACTCCCCAGAACCAGAATCAGAACCAGGCTCTAGATTGACCCTGGGTGGTGGGGAATGCTGGTCTGGATTTATTTTAGTGTTCAGTTCTGATGCCCAGTCAGCACCAGGGTTTGAGTGCAGAACCAAAGGTCACAAGCCATTCCTGCAAGAGACTGATTCAAAGGAGTCAAAAGCTTGCAAAAAGTGCTTGTCAGAGACCCAGAATCCCAAACCAGGCCTCTGCAAGTGTCTGGGCTTAGCAAAGGTGTGGGGATTAGAATCCAGATGTCCCTGGAATTTGAAGCAGTCTGCATGTAAGGTTCCAGGTTTTTTGGATGATTATGCTCACACACCCTCACTCACTCTCTCTCTCACAGAGACACACAGATAGAGATACAGAATAGCCTTGTTAACTAATTAACAGCTCCTCTGAGAAGAAAGCAACCAACACAGGCCTCAGGGTATCACCGGGCTGAAAATATCATTTAGGAGAAAGCCTTTGATTGAGTACATCTGGGAAGCACAGACACCAGCCTGGCAGCTCTAAGACATAAAACACATGTCTGCAGTGTTTCAAACATACGCCAGTAATGCAGAATTATATCCATTTAACAGCGGTGGAAACACCCTCTGTTTGATGTCTTTGCAAATACTGCGCTGTGGGGCAACTGTGGAAGAGCTTGCATTGGCGCTGCTCGTGTTTAACCAGAATTGGCATCACTTCTATCCTTTTTTTTTTTCGTTTTAATTGTACTTTGCTTTCCTGACAGCATTCTTTACCTGTATAACAAAGGTAAGGCAGACCTAGTGTTTATGCTGGTTGTACAGTTCAGGTACGCATCTCTGCCCAGAGGTATATAAGGGGGAATTGGACTATGCAGATAATTTGCCTGGCTTTAGTAGGTCCCATTTGTAAAAGTGGTTGTTAGTATTTACTATTTGTATTATTATATTTAATTATTATTTATAACTATATTATTTATCTACACCAGGCTAAAACAAGAAAATGTTTTCTATCCACTGTCAGTGGATCTCAGTCACTGACCAGGCTTATTAAAATCCATGCAGTAAGGAGTTTTATGGCCTGGCTAGGAATGTCTGTCCTAAATATGTATAAGGCTTCTCCCCTCTGCCCTGTGTGATCATGAGCATGCTGATATATCAGTGCCTCCCAGCATAGGGCTCCAGCCCAAGGGAGATGATCCAGTCTCAGTTGGTGCAGCAGGCATTATTAGTAGCACAGAAAGGAAGGAGATCCCATCTGAGATAATCTTAGGGAGCAATTAAGATTCAGAGGTCAAATCACAATGGCCTGAAAATGCTGTCAGTTGTTTTTTCAAATTGCATATCCCACTGCACATTGCTACACCTCTGTGCACTGCAAATCAGCCAGCAGCACAGGACCAGAGTGAACATCACAAGCTGCACAGGAAATCAAGCCCTCATCTCCAGAGAAGCTGAATCGACTGTGCAGCAGAAGATCCTAATTATTTTCCCAGATGAGATCTCATCCTTCTGGGACTCAGCCTGTCTCATTGCTTTGGGCTTTGTCTCCTCTGAGTTGGATCCTCCCTTTGAATTTGTTACAACATTGTAAGGAGGGAAAGGAACATGATTCTCCTAAAAATATGCCCTTGGTTTTCATAATCTGGTTGACAGAGACATTCCCAGATGTCCAGAGGAATAAGTAAGGAGGGAATACATTCTTGAACTTCACCTCTTGTTCAGCTTGTAAAATGCTAGCAAGCAGACTGCAGAATATTGGTGGTATTCATTACACCAAGAATGAATGTAGAACATACAACATTATAATTGCAAGCATTTGTGATGGACTGTGGGTTTTACTGCAATATTTCTGTGTTAACTGAGTTCACATTGAGGAAAAGCTAAAAGAGCTAGGGTTATTTAGTCTAGGAAAGAGAAGATTGAGGTGGGGATTTGATCACAATCTTCATATATCTGAAGGGCAATTAAAGAGAGGATGGAGATGGGCTTTTCTCCATGACCATAGGAAACAGGACTAGGAGCACAGCCTCAAGCTGTTGAAAGTTTGAAGAACAAGTTAAACAGACACTTGACAGGGATGGTTTAGTCAAGGATGATCCTGCCTTGAGCACAGAGCTCAACTAAATGACCTTGTGAGGTCCCTTCTAACCTGACTTTCTTATGATCCTATGAATGTTGTGTGACTCAGTTTACTCCATTAGCTCTGCACAGAGAATAACGGGTTAAGTTCCAGGGTTGGCTACAGTGCAGGAGGAGACAAGATGGACCTTTAGCATCAATAGAGTCTTGAATGGCTGTGTTGACATATCCACAAATGTGACACCCAAGAGGTGTCCAGCAACAATGGAAGAGCAGACAGGAAAAAAGACTTCTGGCAGCTCCTGTCCAGAAGAGTCTTGGGACTAAGACAAGTTGGGGAGCTTTGGGGAGCTAGCAAGACTGGAAAGGGAACTGCTGTGTATCTTTGGGGGTGCTCAAGACTGTGCAGGCTGGATTGGGAATCCCTTTGGAGTGGGTAGGAAACCTCTGGCTGGGTAGCCTTTGCCCCAATAAATGCCGTTACTGAAGAGACTGCCTGCTGTGCCTCTTGGAAGGTTGGGAGGTGAACGGCAGGAGGTGAAGCCCCTCTCCCAGGAGCACAACTGGATGCTCACTCCTTGAGTCAAGGTCATGGAGAACCAGGGAAGGTGAGAGATGGAAAGGCCAAGGTCTCAGCATGGGAAGGAGCCTGGGCTCCACCCCGTCTCTATAAGCCAAGCCTTAGCTGGCTTCAAGGGACTCTCTGAGACCAGACAAGCATGCAGCAGTCCCAAGCAAGCATCCTCCTTGAGGGCACTCTGTGAAAAGTGGTGTCAGTATTGGGATCCCAGAGTGACAAAGAAGGCTCAACTAATCACGCAGATCGTATAGAGCTGTGAAGCTCAGGATCAGGAACCAACTACAGAACTGACACCAGGACAGCAGCCCAGCTTGTCAACATGGGAGGGCAGGTACAATCGGTGATGGCAATAGCCAGAGCAACAGCCAGATTTCAACCCGACCCTCTTTCCCTGGTGCTGGGTTGGAAAGGCAGAGATTGATGCCCAGAGAAAAGGAGCTTCAGTTGCAGAGGTTGCGGATGAAGCTGGAGCATGAGGACTGGGAAAAACAGAGGAACCATAAACTGGAGATTGAGAAACTGGAGAGCCACAAGTCATCTGAACTGGTAAGCCAGGGACCCCCATTAAGAGTCAACCCTTTGGGGGCACATAAATCCAAACTGCTAAGGATAAGATGTGATTTTTGTGAAAGCCTGGGACACAAAATAGTAAAATACACCAAGCTGGAATCAGCGGGGCATGTTTGGGTCCCAGGGACAGTTAATTTAGTTAGTATTGACTTTGATGGCTCGGTCAGATACAGAGAGTGGACAATGGCTGTATACCCAGGGATCTCTTATATGGAGAGGTCTTTACAGAAAGAAGACCACATGGGTGTC